GGCTCTGTGGATGAGACGTGCATGGAACACAAATGAAAATCACATTGAGACTTGGCCTCATCCCCAAGATGGCTCATTATGCATAATCGGATATTCCAAAATCCATCAAAACCCCAAACCTGGAGCCCTGCTGGCCCTTGGCACTTCGGATAAGGGACGCTAAGCCGTGCTGCTTGGACTCCGTGTGAAGGCAGCGAGAAGGACCAAAGGGCAGCACTCTGGGTTTGGTTTGTCATTGTGAGGATCTAAGTGGCCCCTGGCATCATGAAAAGGGGACCCTGTCCACCCTGAAGAAGCCAAGCTCGCGTCCAGGCCCTGCATCTCCACCAGTTGTATGGCCTGCTTCAGGTTCTCAACACCTGACAGCAATTGGGAGTCCCTCTGGGCCACCTCGGCCCTGTGCTGCTGGCCCGGCTCATTCTTGGACAGTCCCCTCTAGACAGAGGAAGAATCCTCGTCCCTTGTCCCTCCTCCTTGAATACGGGTCACCTGAGTGAGCCATCCTCCATTAACAGAATGTACCTGGAGTGACGCAAAGTGGCTTTGGAAGTGAGGCCAGCAAAGGACATTCGGCTTCCGCCATCATGGAAGAAGCCTGCGCACCCTGGGTCCACGTGCTGGAGAAGCCACGTGCACCGGCTCTAGTTGCCAGCCGGCTGAGGTTCCCACAGAGGGCCAGCAGGGAATGTGAGCCCCAACAGGAGACCACGCGGGCTGGCCTTGGCCTTGTCCCCTCTCCAGCTCTGTGTCCACCAACGCCCAGCCCGCGAGCCCTGCCCAGCTGATCCACAGATCTGGAGCCCCTGGTCTCCTGGGGCTGCTGGCCCCTCACATGGCCGTGCTCAGCGCATATGTAAGGGGCACCATGGGGCCCACAGACTGCCACTTTAAGGTACCTGGGCAGCATCAGCCTGAACCTCTGTCCCTTTAGTAGGCTGCAGATGCACTGGAGGAAGCTGGGGGACCCCGAGGCCCTGCTTTGTCTGGCCTTGATCTGGCGTCACGCATGGAGAGCAGGACAGGATAGGCTTGAGGCCAGGGCCTCACAGTGGCCTGCTGGGTCTGGGTGCATTTGTCACTCAATGATTTGGATAAGAGTCCCTCAAAGACCCATATTATTAAAGGCTTGGTCCCCAGCCTGAGGCCCTATTAAGAGGAGGTGGGACCTTTAAAAGGAGGGGCCTAACAGGCAGAAGTTTGGTCGCTGGAAGGGTGTCCTTGAAGGGAACATGGGCCCCCCAGCCCTTTCCTCTCTCTGGGCTTCCCATGGGCCATGAGGTGAGCGGCCCCACCTTCTGCAGGCCCCAAGCATGGGTGTCGATGGATCATGGGCTGAAATCTCTAAAACCATGAGCCAAAATAAACTTTCTTCTTTTTAAGAGAGAATACCTCAGGTATTTGCTTACAGTAACGAGAAGCCGGGCTGCCCTGTCACAGTCTCCCCAGCTGGTTTCCGGAGGTCTCTGGAATCTGGGTCCTACTCGAGATCCCTAGACTCTTCTAGACCCCTGCCCATGCCTCCATGCCTCAGCCCCCTCTCAAAGCCTGGTCTCTCCATGAGGCTGGGCCTCCCCAGAGGCCTCCCATGGCCTCAACCCCGCCTCTTGGACTCCTCAGACTCATCCTAAGCAGCACATCTATGAAATCGCAATGCCACGTGCCCGAGCTCTGAGCACCATCTACCACCTCTTCTCTCGCCCATCTGGGGGCTGCAATCTGGGAAACACTGGTTTTCGGGTACAGAGGAGCCTTTCTGAAGAACCCTGGCGTGCATTTTATCATCGGTAGCCGGAGACGGGACGCTCAAATGGTTTTATTTTCTTCTCTGTGCCCGTCCACGGCCCTCCCGTTTTTATAATAAGCGGGGACCGGGCCTCTGTAACCAGAAACCGTAAATGAATGTTGGAAAATAACTAAGACATCATCTGCGTTTTCCAAACACAGAGAGTCGGGTGAGGAGAGAGAATGGGGCGGGTGCCCAGAGGCTGGCGAGCAAGGCCAAGAGCGAGTTCTGTGGAATAAGCGCGCTCGGCCTCCCAGACCCCACCTCTCGCCCGGCTTCCAATTGTTGGAAGAGAGGAAACTTCATCCCTCCTGCTTCTCTGCCCGAGCCAGCTGTCACCGGGTGTGTGGGGGACGGGAAACAGGATTACAAGATTAACAGTGCGCCTGCGGAGCCTGCCTGGCTGTTATCAGGGCTGACTCCAGAGAGCCACAGTGCCCACTTGTCACTACCTACGGCAACCTGGGGGTTGGGACTCGCGCCCAAAATAAATCCTGAACAAGGACAAAACCGACTGGGAGCTTCCCCCACAATCAGGTCGGTTTTCCTGAGTGTGTCCATCGCGCTTTCCAGAGACTTTCCCACGAGGGTCCCGTGAGAACCCTGGGAAGTGGAAGCTCCATCTATTCAGACCCATTTCACAGAAGAGGGCTCTGGGGCTCTGCCAGGTGACATCCGGCGTCACCTGCTGATAATCACGACCAGGTTGGACCCATGTCCGTCGGACTTTGAAGGCTTCCATTGGAGTCAATCTGCTTCCCTCCCTCGACTGCCCCAAGAATGTCACCAAAGAACTGAGTAGGAGATGACCTGATGGACTGGTCAGGGGTCAGCACAGCCCTTGGGTTCTGCCACGCTGCTCCTAACAAGGCCACAGAGACACAATGGGGCTCTTGGAGAGACTAAATCCAACATGTCACCCCTTCCCTCTGGTCCATGTGCATAGTCCCCACCCAGGGAGAAGGCCTGGTCCATCTGGGGAGTGGCCAGGACAGCCAAGCAGACCAACCTAGAGTCCCTGCCTGAATAGCCAAACAGCTGTGGTTCAAAGCCTGCTGCTCCGGATCTCGAACACTGCACCTGGCCCTCCTTTTGTGTCTGATATCTGTCCCAGCACCTTCCAAACTGCAGGGACCCGATCTGACACAGGGAAGCCACGTGGAGTCGGGAAGAGACACACGCGCCAGGCCGGGTGCCGCTCAGGGGTGCCGCGCTTGCCTGGAGTGCACGAGGCCTGGGTTCCGTCCCCGGCCCCGCAGGAAAAAAGAAAAAAATGCTGCCCACACAATCTGCGGCCATAGGAGATTTCCCAGAGAAAGGAAGAGCCACGGGAGACCCAGGGAGAGTTGGGAGGTGGCCAGTGGGAGAGGTCAGAGAGACCTGGAGGCTAAACAGAAAGAAGACTCCAGGGTGGGAGCATTCCCTGCAGTGACCAAGACAGAGGGCAGGAGCCAAAGCCGGGGCCAGGCCTGGGGGGACGAGGGGGGCATCCAGGAGAAGCCTGAGCCTTACGCTGAGGGGCAGTAAGAGGTGGATGTCCCTTTGCGTGACTTGTGCTTTACAGAGATCCATCTGGTGGCTGCTTGGAGAAGCCCCCAGCGGGGACAGGACCACAGGCAGGTCCAAGGCAGCCGGGAGGGTGCCGGCTGGAATGAGTGGCCTGCCAGGAGAGAGGGAGGGATGCCGAGACCCCATAAGAAGGTAGAATCGGGGCCCGGTGGAGTTCGGTGGCACAGTGTGAGCCTAGCATGCACCAGGCCCCGGGGTCCACCCCTTCCCCGGAAAGAAGGAGCATCCGCAGGACATGGTGACTAGTTCTCCTGGAGAGGCGCCCACGACACCTTCAACCTGCTCCCCTGCTCTTGACCTCGTGGGAAGGAGGGAAGTCCCCCCACCACGGCCAGCTTGGTCAGGGCGGTGGGGCAGGGCGGCCCCTACCTGTGCAGCCCGGACCTTCACACGTAGCCCTGGGAGGACCTGGGCAGGACAGAGCTACTTCGGTGTCCCCTGAATTCTGAACACTGGAGGAGCAGCGTGACCCGTGGTGCTCCAAGGCACAGATAATCGGACCTCTCTCCGCTAAGATGGGATTCCTGTCCACACTGTTTCCACTGATCCTGGGACTAAATTAAACACCCATTTCAACATGTAGATGACTCAGGAAGTTGGCTATGGTAGCCACCAAAGGCACCTTAGGAGTCTACCGTGGGGAAGGAAGCCAGCCAGGAAGACAGGGACGTACAGGCGTGTGCTGTCCCCGGGCACCAGCTGAAGGTAATGTCCTTGAGTTTTTAGAAGCCTGCACAATCGGATCTGGTAAGCCTTCTGCCTAAAAATAATTCCCCAGAAGGCAGTTTTAAATCCAAAGCTAAAGCCACGGGCTTCCTCATTTCTCTTCCCTCAGTCTCTGAAGGCATATGTCTGTCTCCCTGCCTGACTCTTCCTGTCACATCTTCCAAAAAGGAGAAGGAAAAAAATTCCCGAATGACTTCATTTTATTTTGAAACACTAAACCCACCAAAAGGGGGGAAGGAAGAAAAAAACAAGAAAAAAAAAAAGAAAAAAAACCCTCTTGGTCAAAACAGCTCAAGATGTGATTTCTGATTCTCTTGCCATATGGCAAGTTCGTCTGGAAGCCTCTCCCGAGCACAGAGAACATTGACGACATCCACCATGCCTGTTCCGTCTTTTCAAATCAGACCCCATCCCCACTCTGTGCATTCGCTCCAGACTCTTCTATTTGTCATATCAGCGGCTGCGACCACAGGATATGTAAAAATACCAAGCAATTTTTAGCACCAGCTTCCAATCCCCCAGCGCCCTGGACACCACATGGTGTCAAATTTTGTACTTCACCCCCAGGAAATCAAGTCATTAACTTCTCTCTCATTTACCGCGAGCCCATGCCAAAGAGAAAAGCCTTCCTCGGCTGTGACTTATGGGAACAAAAAGGGAAAGGGACTCGCTCGGGAGAGAGATTGCAGAGGGAAGTGATGCACAAAGCTCAGCTCCCCTGGTTCTTCTCCCGCCTGGGAGCATCACCCTCAGGTTGCTGATGGCCTCGGTCGCATGGGACAGTTATCAGAAAGGGGAACGAGTCTTTCCTCCCCATCTCTGGGTACCTGGTGCTCGTGGGCAGGGTGGCCATGGCACAAGAGCTGAGTGGCCCCCCCGGCTCTGCCAGGCACAGGTGGGGCACAGGGATCCGCTTTCCTACCTCTGCATCCTGGACATTCTGTGCAGCTCCATGTCGTCACTCCCCCGGAATCCTTTGGCGAAGGGATTGTTCTCGATCTTTAATTGGGTGATCTGAGGGAAGGAGGGAGAACGGGCGTTTTACACTTTATTGCCACAAGACTACCTCGGGACAGGAGCTCCTAACGGTGCCATGGAAACGTGGCCTCGGGCAACCGAAAGAAGCAAATTAAGCCAGTCCTGTCACCGGGACCCACCACTTCATTGGAGTGGAGGCTTTTGAAACATGTCCTCAGACTGCTTTTTGGGGAGAGAGGGTGTTGGGCTGGATTCAGTTTGCACATTAATTGGAGTCACATTCTGCCATCCTTACAGCCAGAGTCATGAGGGTGAGTGTGTGTGAGTGTGTGTGTGAGTGTGTGTGTGCGTGCATGCGTGCATGTGTCTAATCTGGGCACTTTGTATTTCCAGCACAGTGAAGGCCTCAACATTTGGTCCCCCTCCCCTGGCCCCCGAAGCCCCCGCCCTGGGAAGTCTTGCATGTTGGCACGGGGGGTTGTATATCCGGCGGTGTGGCAATCCCCCGTTTGGAGAAAACTTGTCTTGATGGTGAGTTTCCAACAATCAAGTCATTTCATGGTTTCACAGACTTCACTGGCCCAGGTGGGAAACAGTGGCCAATAAAATAAACACAGACACGTGTGCGGATCACATCTATGACAGCGACCACACAGCTCTGGGCCGAGGTGACTTCCCGAGCTCTGTCTGTCCTAATGATCTGCAGGATAGGGAGCTGAGCAACAGAAAGAGGGTCTTTCTGAATGTCTTGGCCTGGAACTTTAAACCATCAACGCGTATTAGGGGAGTGTGAATGTGCAGTAGCCCATCCAGGTGACAGAGTGCGTTTGCTAGAAGTAGTTCCTAAAAGTTACGTGCGAATTGATTTTTCTTTCTTTTTCAATTTTGTTTTTCAGAGCTGGGAATCAAACCCAGGGCCTTGCACATGCTAGGTAAGCGCTAACCAAGAACTACACCCCAGCCCAGAATTCTCATAGACAGTCACAGTATAGGCACCAGGACATCAAGACTCTAGCTTCAGTCCTGGGGTGGGGGACCCCGTCACGATCACTGTCATATCATAGATCACCTGTATACTGGTTTGCTTGATATTTATATTTAAATTGAACCCCTTTTTACTGAAATCTATTTTACCCAGAAATAGGATATCCTGGCGCACACCTGTTATCCCAGCGGCCCAGGAGGCTGAGGCAGGAGGATGGTGAGTTCAAAGCCAGCCTTGGCAACTTACCAAGGCACTAAGCAACTCAGTGAGACCCTGTCTCTGACAAACTAGAATCCCTTGCTATTCAATAAGGAGAAAGCCACTGTATCAAGATCTCTGTACTAGGACTCACAGAAAGTTCTACATCCAAACCCTGCCTTCCCCTGGTGGCAGGAAGAGATTAGGCGCTTCGGAAGACGTTTGGAACACCACACACCAACTTGTACTGAAGGAAGGGCTGTCTGTCTTCCTCCAAGAGAAGTCTAGAAAGATAACTGGGAAGGGAACTTTCTCCCCCTGACTTGGATCCTACTCGATTGCCCCTGCAAAACGCCTCCCCTTACCCCAGCAGTACATGGACTTCAAGAAACTCTGGGCCAGGAATCATTAATGAATGCACACTTCTAAATCGATCCCCTGAGCTGTTCCGATACATCCTGCCTCTAGAAGAAACAGCCTACATAGTTCCCTTCTAGCTCCAAGACTCTATAATGAACCTGAAATCACTGTCTGAGGGCTGCGGTGTAGCTCAGTGGTAGAGCTTTGGTCCAGCATTGCAGAAGCTCTGGGTTGCACCCCCCGCACTGCACACAACCAACCAAACAAACCGACTCACTGACTTGCTCTATGTATGATACCTGAATGCATAACAACAACAAAAAAATCTCACATTTTTAATATCTGACTCCAATAATCTGACATCCAGAAAAAAAGAAAACTATGGTAAAAAAAAATTTCAAAAGGTCAGCAATTGCCAGGGGTTGAGGCGGGGGGATGACGAGGCAGAACGCGGAGAATTTTTAGGGCAGTAAAGGTCCTCTGTGGAACCCGGCCATGGGGGGTACCTGTCACTATATGGTTTGTCCAGACCCATAGCACCCCATGACAGATAGGAACGCTGAGGTCACAGCAGGTTTGGGGTGATAATGATGTGTCAATGTGGGGTCCTCCACGTAACAGACGGACTACTCTTGTGGGGGTGCTGACCGTGGGGAAGGCCAAGCACATGGGGGCGGGGGAGGTGCGTGGAAAATCTGTACTTTCTGGAACCACAAAGTGCTCTTTTACATCCATTTAAAAATATTTTGGAAGCCGGGAGTGCTGGCGCACACCTGTTATCCCAGCGGCTCAGGAGGTGGAGGCAGGTGGATCATGAGTTAGCCTCAGCGAATGTGAGGCACTAAGCAACTCGGTGAGACCCTGTCTCTGAATAAAATACAAAATATGGCTGGGGATGGGGCTCCGTGGTCGGGTGTCCCTGAGTTCCATCAGAGGTACCCAAAAAGAAAAAAAAATATATTTTTGAAATCCATGTATAGACACACATCCATGTGTTTGCACACATGTGTCTACACATTCCCTTCCACCTTCTTTCTTTCTTTATTTTTTTCTGAGAATTGAATCCCGCTTTGTCACTAAGCTACATCCTGGTCTTTTGATTGATTTTTTAATTTTGACACAGGGTCTCACTAAGATGCCCAGGCTGGTCTTGAACTTGTGATCCTCCTGCTCAGCCTCCTGAGTTTCTGGGATTATAGGCGTGTGCCACTGCACCTGGCTTCATTTTTTTTTAACTGGGCTCATTCCTGCAGATTTCTGATTTTGTCTTAACTCTTCACTGTGAGTTAAAAAAAAAAGAAAGAAAGAAAAAGAAAAACTCTACAAAAATCCTTTCACAAAAGAATCTTCAACATGTACACTCTTGGACAGCTCATTTTAAGAGTCTAAGATTCCATCACCTATGGGGCTTTCCTTCCCACTCAGATTTCATCACAATGAATTGCAACTCCATGAATAATAAATCATTTTTTAAACACTCGTAAAAATGAAATTAGATCATTTAAACAGGAAGATCTCAGTGGTGTATGAGGCTGAGGTAGGAGGATGGCAAGTTTGAGGCCAGTCTCAGCAAGTTAGCGAGGCCCTGAGTAACTGAGTGAGACCCTGTCTCCAAATCTAAAAGTTACAAGGGCTGGGGATGTAGCTCAGTGGGTACGTGCCCCTGGGTCAATTCCTAGTCCAAAGGAAGAGAGAGAGAGAGAGATGTGGGTGCGTGGGTGGGGAGGGAGAGAAGAGAAGAAAAAGGAGGAGGAGGGAATCCTTTCCCCCAGGCCAACCCACCCCAGCCACAGAAGTTGATCCCTGCAAATGTTGAGGACAGGGAGGATGGGGACTCGGGGCTGCATAGTGTGGCCAACCCGTAGTTACTGCCCCACCAAGAATTCAGAGCCAAAAGTTGCACAAGGGAAAAAAATGGGGGGGTTTTATTTTATCTGCAAAAGATTTTTGCTCCAATCCATTCCTTACACCCCAAACAAGGTCACTTACTCCCTGATTCTTATGCTTTATCACCACATCTTACGAGAAATAGCACAATTTGCTAAATAGAGACTTTTGGAGATGGAGTGTAGGTACCCTTAGGACCTAAGAAATGCCTTTGAGAAACACTGACCGATGAGCTTGTCTGCCAATGAGAATACCTGTCTCCACATGTCCCCATCCACTTGAAGGACAACCGTGTCTGTAAAGTCCCCTTGTCAAGAGGCTGTGTGTGCTGGCTCAGGGGTACCCAAGCCCATCCACCTGGATGCTCCAGTTCTGCCAAAAGTCTCCCCTGAAACTCCCTCGCATTTGCCATACAGAGGTGCTCCCTCCAAAATCAGCATAAAACCGGATATCCGGGGGAGGGCTGGCCGTGGGGGGGGGAGGGGGAGGGCAAATATAAATACCAGCTCCAACTGGTGAGACAGAGGTTGTAAAAATTAATGAGAATAATTGTTGTGAATTCTTGCTTTTGAAAAAAAATAGGGGAGGAAAAAAAAAAAACTCATGAGAGCCAAAAATCTTAATTATGTCTCTCTATTAGGGGTTCATTTCCTGGTCCCAACCAGAAAGCTCGTACCTCATAAATACAGGCTGCGTACACAATGATTTAAGCAGGAGGAAAATGCTTTTTGATGGAAAAGTGAATTAATATTGGGGGATAGAGCCGCTGGCATACACAGCCATGGTCGCAAGAGCAGGGAAATGAAATGCCCACGTGACCTTTTTTTAACACCTAAATATTTCTGGGCATGGCTGCCGAAAACTGCAGTGAAAACCTTACAAAAACATGTTTCACAGGGTGAACGTCGCCGGGGAAGATTCGAGTGTTTAAATATCTTTCTCAAGCTGTCAACCATCTGGGGAAATAATTCCCAAATCCAGCTTGGGATCACAGCTGGGCTGAGGAAATATGTCTCGTCATTAGGAGCCCTTGTGGGCTCAGGCATGTGACTGCAGCCCAAGAAATGAGCTCTTGTCGCATGCCTACCCCCACCTGGTACCTGCGCCCATGTCCAGAAAGACCATCCCCAAAGCAAAGCACGGAGCTCTCAGACCAAACAAAAAGGGACTTGTATTTTCCCAAAGTGTCCTGGCAATTGAATCGAGTGGATTGCTTTTCTTGCCCTGATCCTTTGTCCAAAGCCAAATACAAGATGAAGGGTCCTTGAATTGACGACATGATCAGGGAATGAACCCAGGAAACCACAAAGAGGAACACTGGTAGTTCTTTTTCAACCACGGTAATAAGAACTTATTTAAAATCTCCCGTCTTCACGATTCTAAAATAGCCAGGGAGTGACACTGAGTAGGCTGAGTGTTCCAGAATGTTCGTTTGGAACAGAGTTGCCCCTCCTAACAGATCAGTGAAGTCTTCCACCAATGGCTGGATCACCAGGACGGGCATTTGGAGCTAACTGGATGCCAAGCCCTGCCCTGCACCTCTCCAGGTCTATCTCGGGTCACCGTCCTGATGATCCTACAGGGTTGATGTTCTTATTATCCCCATTTTACAGATAGGAAAAATGGATCAAGTCCATTGTCCAGAGTCGAATGGATGTGAATCCAAACAGTCCGCCGCCCCCAGAGTCTCCCTGGCAACCTACACGGCGTAAGAGCCCAGCTGGATTCCACCCATGGAGTCAGAATTCTCAATACCCGTTCCAGGTGGGACAATAAAGTAATGAGAACAAGTCCACAAATCATATGCAACCCCGGCCGCTTATTTAAATCACACGTCGTATATCCATAGGGGAAATGTTTGCAGGGTCTTGGACTCTACTAGAAATGTGTACAGCCGTGGACTTGCTCTTCACACAGCAAATAGATGCCTTTGAGACTCTAAGAGTTAGAAGGGAGGGAAAACCCAGTGAGCCTGGATGTCTCCTAGGAAATCCTGTATCTGCCTGCCAAAGAATATGTCAGGCTGGCTAGAAAGACCTCTATGTGCAGTTCAGCTGGGCTCTCTGATCCAGATAAACAACAACAACAAAAGAATTCCTGTATGCAAACCCCGATTGTGATCATCAAATGCACACGCATCTCAATGTACAGCTGAAGATGCCCATTTTGGACCTATGAGCATTTAGACGAATGCACAAAATCCACACGTATGCACCCCCCTCCTCGGGCATCCATTCACGTGCACAGATCACTAAATATATACAGGGCAGAGAAGAAAATTTTGAAAAGAAACTTGGGAGGTATTGGATATTTTCATGAGTTCCACCGAAAAGTTTTACTGGCATGCATGTATGTCAAGTGTGACGGTGTATGTATGCTTCAAGGGGCTGGGGAGTAGCTTAGTGGAAGAATGGGTGCTTAGCTTTGTCTAAGGCCCTGAATTCAATCCCCAGCTCCGCCCCCCCCAAATACATAAATAAATGTGTACTTCAAATATTGCAAGTGATGTTATGATATAAATAATGCTGCAAACAGAGAAGAGGAGAGGGAGACCGTGATGGGACCTAAGATCATAACTATATAGAATCCAGAATCTTTCCCCCAAGGGCCCAAGGTCTGATGTGGTTTTTAGAAGATCACTTTCAAGTGTGCACTCCTTCCCCTATGAACCTGGCCTTTCTTCAGAGAGAGAGAGAGAATTGGAAAAAAAAAAAAAAAAAAGTTCTGATATACTCCTGGACTCTGTGTCAGATCTGGGAGCCCCTGAGCATCTATGCATGTAGGTGAGGCTTCAGCTTCTTGATTGCTATTTCTCCTGTGACCACACTGGTTTGCCACAGCCTTAGAGGAGGCAGTTTTCAAGAAGCCAGATTCTAACTGATCTGAAATAGTTCTGCTGCTCTCGGGAATTTGGACTTCACTGTTTCTCACCCTTGGCTGGAGGGTCAACAGGAGAGGACTCAGAAAAGTCTTCCTTCTCCTTTAAAAAAGCTGTGGCTTTTTTTTTTTTTTCAAGGGAAGGAGGCTCTCCCCTAAGATCAGGAAGGAGCCATCCATCACAGCTTGGCCTGGTCACTGACAACCTGAATTTGGAGATTACCCAAAGCCTGTTCTAACAGCCCTGGCCTCGGTGGGGGGATTATCTGCCACCCAGCCTGCTCTGGAGTGACCTCGATGGGGTAACTGGAGGCTTTAGAGTGCTAACCCTCCCCTGGCCTCTCTTGCTAGGCTCCACAGCCTTTGCGGTTTCCAGGACAGGGGCTATGGGAGGGGGAGGGTCACAGCCATCCCCACATCTACCCAGGTAAGACGAGTGACCTGCCCTCACTCATCCCACAGGGACTGCCCCCCTCACCGTCCAACCTGGCCACCCTCACTTGAACTGCCTCTAAAGGGAGGACACTGACTCTAACAGAAGAGGTTCTTCCACGGAAAGTAGTGCCAGCCACCTTCCCCTCCATGCTAAAATGATGCCTTCTGGTGGCATTTGAGTGAGTGGCCATCTAAGTCACGACAAGCTCAGTCAAACAGGTGTGTGTGTGTGCATGACAGCTGCATCCAGCAGTAGGAACCACCCCACCCTTAGGCTGCAGTTCTGCCCTGCCCCGCACCTTGGGGTAGAAGTTGTGCAGGTGCACCCCGCACACTGGTAGAGAGCCTGCCTCAGAGCACAAAGTTGCAGCCAGGACCAGACTGCATATTCACGAAGCCAGCAGACAGTCCCAGGTGCTGCCTGCTGGGGGCGGGGCTCACCTTGTGATTCTGATAGGAAGTCACCGCAATAAATGCCGTCTCCGGGAAGACGTGGGTGCAGAACGCTGTATTTTTTGAACCGAATCCATTATTTTCATCTGCTTTCACGATGTGTAATCTGGGCTGGTATTTGTGCATGGAATTTAGAATAATCTAAAAATAATAAAGAGAATGAGATTGTAAGAAAATCAAAACTCCCTTTGTTTCCAGATAAATCCCTGCTCCCTCCTTCCCCCCCCCCCCAATTAGCCTCCTTCCCTATAGGCTCTCTCGGAAAAATAGTCATTTTTTTCCCTTCTGTTTTGAAAAGGGGCCAATGATTTCATTAAAAAGAAACATTTCAAAAATGACAATTTCCAACTAAAAAAGCCAAGGTAATATTCCAGGAATCTACCCAAGGCACACACAGCAGTAAATCAGAATTCTTAATAAAGTTTGCTTAATAAATTAACTCTCTGCATAGGGCACTTCCCACACCCCCAATGGGAGCCTAGTGAGTCTGCTTTGGGGAGCAAATGAGTCTGGGGAAGGCTGGGCAGCAATTTGGGAATGACTAGGGTCAACAAACAAACAAACACCCACCCCCCAGGCCAGCCAAACCCTCTAGTCATGTAAAGGAAGACACGAAGCTTTTGCAAAACTGGAATGAAAATGAGACTTTTCCTGAGACTTGGACCTCAAATCTTGGCCCTTTGTGAAACAGGCAAACTAATGTCAATAAAGAGACTTTTAGGGGTGGGAAGTGCAGCCTGGCCTCTCAGGAGAGCCAGATATGGGCAGGAAGCACCCGGCAAACCACCCCATCAAAGCGCTGGGCGGGTTGCCCTGGAGACTCCCCTTCTCCAACTTTATCTCATCATCCACAACCAACGTCATCTCCAGGCTCGGAGCTGGTGCATCTGCTTGGCTGCTTGGGGGGGGGGGGGTATGTGCTTTTTCTCTCTCCCTCCTGCCCACCTCCCCCATCTTAGGGTGCTTCCAGGGGAAGGTCTCCCTGCTTGGAGGACCTCCACTGGATGCACGTTCTTGCTGGAGCCAGGACTATTCACAAGCGATGAGCATCGCTTCTAATAAAACCGGGTTTGTTGTCCTGATGACGCCCGGATTTGGATGCTCCCGGACCATTAACACTAATATTTACCAAAACTGTCCTGGTCCATGTCCACTGAATGGGCGAATCGCTGGCCTTTAACGGCCCCCAAATCTGGTCTGCTTTTTTCCCCAGGACCACAATCTGGAGCGACTGGGATTGTCTCAATGTCTTTGATTATTTGCATCGATGACCCTGGGGCAGGATTTTCGGACAAACCCGGGAGGCCCCGCAGCGCGGAGGGGGAGGGGCGGCCGCTCGCGGCCCTGCGCTGGCGACCCGGCCGGGGCTCTAATCTCCGGCCGCCGGGCCCGGCCGCCTCCCTGGCCGATAGCGACGCCGGCCGACCGGGGCAGCGTGGCGACAGAGAGACGCAGCGGCCCCCGCGGGCAGCCACAGCCCCCGGCCCGGCGCGGCCATCCTCCCGGCTTAGCCAAATTGCCTTGACGGCTGGGGACAGTGTGGAAACGTCAACGCCAGAGCGATCTAATGGCTCCTAATTTCATTAGGGAGGCTCTGGATTAAAAGTCCAGAGTTTAGGATAGAGCACCTCTCCCGCTTCCCCTGGGCTGCTCAGAGGGACCTGAACCCCCAAACTTGGGGCAGGGCTGTGCACCTTCCCCAGATGTCCACCCCAGAGCGACCCCAAAGGCACAGCAGAAAATCAGAGGGGAAAGTTAGGAGGTGGCCTGGGGTTGGGGGAGCCCTCACTTCCCAACATGATTCCATCCCCTCCCCCGACCAAACCCCCTGACTACCCAGCCAGGAGATGCACATGGGACCTTTACAAAATGGTCCCCGCTTCCTCAGAATCCCTTGAAATATAAAATGTCTGTTTGGAATCAGCAGAGCGACTCCTTACCCTGGGCCATCTCCCCACCCAGGAAAGACAGAGTTGATTTCTGCACTGGGTGCATCAGCAAGCAAGGCTCAACAGAAAGGAGGCTCTGCTGTTTGGCTGGACGCTTTCTGCACCCCTTGGAGCCCTCCCAGGGACATAGAAAGGGCAGGGGACTTTCTCCTCTCTGGCCAGCAGTTCAGCCTCTTCCCACCCCAGGGGCTGTGGCTGCCGAGGGGGGCCGCTGCATCTCTCTGGGGTGGGTTTGTGCTGAGTCCTAAGACCTGGCAGGAGGAGATTCCTCATCTGAACTTTCACTACTGTGCTCCCTCATGGCCAAATCATTCCCACCCCACGCCCTCCTTTCCCTAATCTGGAGACCACGTGTCCCTCAGTTGCTGTACTCTGGAGAGACAACCTGGTGGGACAAAGAGTCTCTATGGAGTTAGAGCTACCCTCAAAATCCCTGATCCCAAATGCAAGCTGTGTGACCTTGGACAAGTCACCTCCGCTCCCCGGTGCCTTTTGTCTTCCTCTCTAGGCTACAGTGAGGATCAAATGCCCCAGGGTGAAGGAGCCCATTATGAAATTGTCAAACAGGGACCTCCTCACTGAATTCCTAGACTGTTCTATCTAATTATTTCTATCATTAGAAATAATACAAAGAGATTTAGGGACATCCCCCCCAAAAAAAGAATGAGTGTTTTGTTCTTTGTTTTCTTTTGAGGAAGAAGGGGTGACACCCTGCTGAAAATCCCCTAAAAGCTACCTGCTATCTGGGCAGGAGGTGGGAGGGGGTCGGCTGCACACTCAATATCCAGCATATGCTGTCAGGGAATTCACCAGGTCCCCCTCTTGGAACCAACCTAGACTCCTCTGATGGCTTCACTGGCCACCTGTAGAGAAGGGGCAGACCACCTCCCTCTCACCCAGGACATTTAAAAAATGAGGCAGAACCTGGAAGGGGACAGGGAAAATATATGCTCCCCTGTGAGGCCTCTCCTGTACTGGGTCCCTGCTGGGCCCCAGTGTCCATGTTGTTTGCATAACTGAAGGCCCTCACCTCTCGCTGCACCTAAGGCACAGGCTGACCCCGCAGGCCCCACTGTCCAGGCCTGGGATGAGCAGCCCCAAGACTCTGGACCCTCAATAAAGGCAGAAGATCGGGGGGTTGGCGGCACAGATGCAGCCCCAGGCCAGGAGAACCGAGAGCCCAGGCTCCAGCCAACAGGAAAATACAGACCCAGGACCATCCCCCAGGAAGGACAGCTGAGGGTGGGCCCTCTGAGCAGAAGGGTGGTGGAGACAGAGGAGGAAGTGGTAACGAGGAAAAGAAAGCAAGGGGAAATCTGAATGAGGAGGTGAGAACTACAGGAGAAGTAAAGAGGAGGCGAGAGAGGGAGGAAAAAGAAGAAAATGAAAGACCAAAAGCCAGGTCAAAAAGGGACTTGGGAGGGGGGAAAATGGAGGAAAGAAATGGAGAATCGTGGACACGTGAAGCTGAGAAGAGCAAGCGGGGAGGCCGAGGACGGAGAGGGCCGGGGTACTTACGTGCCCAAAGGGGTCCAGGTGGTTGTTGGTGAGCTTGAGTTTCTGGAACGAGACGAGCTGTCGCATCCAATGCGCCCCTGTGGCTGGCGAATCAGGGTGCACATAGAGGCGGCCAGGCATGGCAGGCTCTGCTTTGCCGGTCACAGACCTAAACCAAGGAGAGGCGTGACCTGGGGGCTGCGGTAGCAGAGGTACTGCACCAGGCAGGGGCTGCCAAGCACTGGCCGGAGACATCTGGGATCATCCTGACCCTCCCGTCTCCTTTAGGCTCCCAGGTGCCCCTGAGTGCCTGGCGCAGGCATCCAGGCCAATCCCCTGGACCGACTCTTTCTTCATCCACCTCAAAGTTCCCCTCACGCCAGGCGTGCCTGGGACCCTGTGGTGTCTCAGGGCACACAACCAGGCTGGTTCTGGAAGCCTGAATGTGCAAAAGAAATCTTGAAAACTCCTTAAGTGCTTTCAAAGAGGGCCTCCTCCTTTTGAAGCCCCTGCACTCCTGGCAGCCAGGGAGCAATCGACCCAAGGAATGGGCCTCTCCTCTCTTGGCTTTTTAAACTAAAATGCCACGGGCCGATTTTGTAATTTCATAAAAAAGCCATGTTCAAAGCAGGTAACTCATAAAAAATAACTGTAAATGGTTTATGCCCCCCAGAAATACATCCAGGGCTTGGTAACAATACTCTTTTTTAAAAAATCCAGAGCCCATGTGTGCAGCAATAGAGGGCCCTGTTTCCTCTGAGCCTCAGTTTTCTGGTCTATCAAATGGGAACTAATGGCTGCGGGGTGGGGGTGGGGGGTCTGCCGGCTGCAATAGAATAGTCATGTGCAAGCCTAGGAGCTAAAAAGTGGGAGCTAAAAAATGTTTATTCGTTCAAGGTGGGGGATTCCAATTCCCTCCCTGCCCTCCTCCTGTCCGGTGCCTACCATTTATTATCTGCAAACTTATATCTGTGGTCATCCGCAGGAACAATGTCCATGAGGAGGATATACTTCGTTTTGGGATTAAGCCCAGTCACCTTGACTTTATAACTGGGAAACATCCGCCTAGGAGAGAGAGGGGGAGGTGGGGAGAGGGAATTGATGTCAATATTCTGAGAAGCATGTCTGCAGATTTTAATGGAAAATGCAATTCCTTGAAACAAGTAAAACGGAGGAAAAACTGGCTCCACTCCACTCTCCCTGAGATCCATCCCGGGTTTCCCTTGAAGTTCTGGTGTGGGGAGGAGGAAAGCAAAGGGATGGGAAAGGAGGAGGCACCTGGGTACCTGTGGGGACCTGGGAGAAACAGCAACCAGAGGCTGCTTAGAGAGAAATGGTTTTAAAGAAGGCTTGAAAGGGACCCCTTTCAAATCCAACTAAATGCTCCTCTCAGAGCCAGCCACCTACTCTGGAGGAAAGGACTGGGGTCAAACCTAGCCCCCTTCTATCTGCCCAGGTGCTCTGGTCCATCTCTGCATGACTGCAGCGTCAATACACACGGAGGTGTGCGCCCTAGGGTCGCGCAGCCTGTGGGTGTGCATCTGCCCGGGGTCCTGGCTTTTGTTGTCCGCCCTCAGGGGCGGGGATTAGCGGCGGTTCCCAGTTTAACTCGGTGGGTGACCCCCACGGGGTCTTCAGCGGGAGTTCATTCTTAAACGCCACACTTCCCAAGGCGCCTGGGGCAGTCTACGTTCCTTGGCCCTCGGCAAAGAAATTCCAAATCTATCCAGATTTGGTTGCAGCAAGAGCTGGGGCCTGACCTGGGGTCGGTGGGCAGAAAGCCGATGCGTGCAGCAGCCTGGTGCCGGCTACTTCTGGGCGCGGGGCGCACTCCACGCTCCCATCCCGCCTCGTGAGTTGTACGCCTCGGGAAGCAAGGCTCCTCCCGGCTGAACTGGGGCGAAAGGATCAGATGCTGGACCTGGGCTGGCTCCGCGCTGGCGGGCAGGGTGAGCCGAGGCCTCTCCCTAAGCCTCGGTGTTTATCTGGCCGAGCAGCGCGCCTGGCTGGAGGCGGAGGCGCAGGAGACTTCGCAGGCCTTTTATAGTTACATCCTCGGCTCGGGCGAGGGGGGAAAGGATCCCAGCCCGGGCTTTCCTTCCCCGGCGGACTGGGAAGAGGACCTCAGTGCCCTGGTATAAACAGATCGCGCGCCTCCCAGTTCACTCCGGCCTTGGGCCGAGCGGAGGAGCCGACATTGTTTAATTTCAAATAATAATAAATGTCACGGTTGTCAGTTTATTGTGGGAGGCTTGGAGCAGGAGAACCGCGGCGTCTGCAGAATCGGCTGCACCCTCCGCCTTCGCACACCCCGGCGGCGTGGGCCTGCCGGCCTCCCTCGCTCCACGCGCGCGCTCTGCACAGACCCGAGGCCTTCTGCCCTTCCCGGCGTGGAGGACCCATCCAGCCGGGGGATGCTTGTGGCGGGGGTGTCCTCAGGCCTGGGCAGGAGCCCTCTCACACAGGGAGGCACAGAGCTAGCGGGACGACTCTGCCGTCCCCTCCCCCATGAGTCTGGCTCTTCCAGCTCCAACTCCGCGAGCTTTGAAGGGGAACTCTGGGGCCAGTCTTGGCCAAGAGGCCGTGTTTATCGGTGTCTGCGTATAGAGCTCCACCGAGCCCCGATTCAGTTTCAAAGGCTTCGCCTTCGTTCTATAAACAATGGAAGAGGTAGCGAAGACATCCAACAATTCAGAGTTTGGCCATCGGGTGGGACGCTGGAACCACTCCAAGGTCAGGGAGGGTGGGGATGCGGGTGGGGGCGAGGGATCCAGTCCGAAACCTAGGAAACCCAAAGCCCTGCTCTGTTTTCCCTTTCTCTCTTCGTTCCATTCTTCCTCTTTTTTCTCTCACTACAAATCCGTCCAGAGAGCATGGCTTCCATGCTTTTTATTCTTCCTAAATATGAGCTGGAAGAAACACCCAGCTTCCAGAGTTGAGGGTTTGGGTTGTATCCCCATCCTTCTGAGGGCCAGTGGAAGGATTCTCAATGTGCCTCTTTAACCAGAATCGAGTCAAATATTTTATCCCCCCTCCCCCAGCTAATTCTTTCTCTAGACCCCAATCCTCTCTCCCTCTCCATTCTCTCCTGCTCCCCGGCCACATTTTTTCTTCTTCTTCTTTCCTCCCTCTGTGCCCCTGTGCTCCCTCCAGACCCTCAGCCAACTCACCTTCCAGCCTTCGTTATTATCATTTCTGTGCCCACTTCGTGAAATTTCAGCCACAGTTCTCTTTCGTGGAGAAACACCTTGATTCCTTCCATGCCCTGCAGGCATGAGAGAAAGATGGCAAGTGAGAAGCTTGGGTGGCAGTGGACATTTCTTCCCAAACTGCAAGAAGGCTTCTCCCACCGCCTTGGTGCCTGTGGACTCAGAGGGTGAAAAGTGCCTCAGTCAGCTGCAGAGTTGTCTGGGCTCTGGAGCACCCTACAGCCTCCGCCCAGGAATCCCTGTGCCGGTTCAGCTGTGAGGGGGCAACCAACGACTACTTGATTTTCCAGTGTGATACAGCCCCCCTAATGCCCTCAAAACAAAGTTTGAGAGTCATCGCCAATATTAGGGGGCTCCAGGACTGTGGGGAGGACCCACGGGCCAATTTCAATTCACTTCTAGCTGGGGAAACAGGGGGCCTCAATCTAGAAAACAATAAAACACCGAGGACATTCTTTGTAGACACCCATATGTCCACTCGCAAAACTTATGAATATGCAACTCATGTGCCTGTAAATGTTTACCCTCTATCATGGTAGAACATGAGGAATTTTAAGGAATTTTAAATATAAAAAATTTATTATGATTATATGATATGTTGCTACAGTCGAGAACATAAATTCTATCTACCTTCCCGGGCCCTCTGTTCACTTTCAGCAATTTGGAATATGGGGAACAGCTGAAACCGATGTTTTCACTTTCGACGAAAAGCTATTTTACAAAATCAACGCAAAAAAAAATTGGTTTTGAGTTTTTTTTTTGGAATTATTGGTTATTTTTTTAAAAGTGGATTTGCTTTTCTGGAAAAGAAAAAATTCTGAGCCCCGAGCCCTGGGTATACTTCCATCATCCCAGCAACTCAGGGTGGTGAGTTCCAGATCAACCTGGGCGATTTAGCAAGACCCTGTCCCAAAGTTTAAAAATAATAATAAATTAATTTAAAAGCCTGTGTAAGGCCCTGGGTTCAATCGCCAGTACCAAAATACTAAGGATGATGATGAGTCCAAGTTTCCTTAACGGTGCTTGCAGGCTGTGTAAATATTACGCCTGTTTTCCTGAAATAGGAAGACAAAAGAGAAAGTCTGGAAGGGCATCGAAATTTAAGGAAGGCTGAAGCTATGTGTACGAATCTCTTCTGGTCAAGTCAACCGCTTTGCGGTCTGTGACATCTATTTTAAAACCGTCATCGGTCTTGTGGCCGCCTGGTGCACCCAGTGAGCCGAGGGTTAGGGCGCGGAGCGAAAGACAGGGCTCCTCCCTCTGCTGGGGCCCAGCTTCAAGCCAGGCGAGCCCGAGACTTCCTGTGCCCTCTCGGGCCGGCCTCCTGCGCTCCCCTCGGCCTGCGAGGGCGCGCTAGCCCGCCAGGCCCCGACCGCAAGACAAATGGTGCGATGCGCGGGTCTAGGCAGCGGGGAAGGCTACGGGAGATCTAAAGAAGGGTCAAGCCATCGCTCATGCCGGCCTGAAGCAGCCGCTGACCCGGCTCTTAATAAGGCGCTCAGGGCCAATTCTACACCTAATGCAGCAGGCCAGGAATTCTCTGGGCTATTGTTTGCTGACCTCAAATAGCCGGATAATTGAGATTTCTCTAACAATTTAACTAGCTTTCAAAAATCCTCAGGCCATAAAGATAATCTCATCATAAAATGCATTGGAATAGACTGGTATTTGGGGAGACAGGGCAGAGAGCGGTGGGACTGAGTGGGAATAACAAGGAAAAGGGACCGTAATAAGTCTTAGGCTCCGCACCCCTCCCCTGCGCCGGCAGAAGGAATCCAGCAAATCAGCCGGACTCCAGTCGGCTTTGGTGTCTGCAAAGGGCCTTCAGGTGCAGGGTCTGCTTACCTGCTGGGTGAAGGCGGCCTGCGGAGACGACGGGGACTTGCTGGGAACCCCTAGTGTAGTCTCCGGTTTTGAATCGCAGGACAGGTCTTTGGAGTCAGGCTCCAAAGGCGTGTGCGCCAGGCCAAAGCCCTCGTCTGCGTCCGCCATGGTGTGCCCAGGGCCCTGTGCCCGTTCGAGGTTCTGCTCTGAGAGAGAGAGAGAGTTGGGGAGTGGAGAATACAGCTTCAGCGACAGGAGGGAGCAGTTTGACCCCGTTTCCAGCTACCAGCCCCTGGGTTCCCAGCTGAAGGAAACGGCAGAAAGTCCTATTATTATTATTATTACTATTACTTTCTGACCACGCACAATCTCTTGCGAAAGACCCGCGTCAGACCCGGAGGAGGAGAGGCCCCCATCTCCCCTGCGCAGGCTCTCCACGATAAGCGAGCTGCCCGTCAAATTTGTCTGAACTCCTGAAAGAGCCAATAAAGATAAGCGTCGGTATTTTTGGAAGCCATTGGGTACCAACCAAACACAAAACAAAACAAAAACTCAGTCTCCTTTTGAGAATTTCTTTTCTTTGTCAAACTGCAGGAGGCCATCGGAATTTTTTTTTATTATTATTAAACCTCAAGAGAGGAATAGTTATCTGCAGCAAGCAGAATGCTTGCAATAACCCGCCTCTAGCAAAACCCCCAAACCGAGGAAGGATGTCCGAACTGAGAGACCAGGTTCAAAAGAGAATTCGTGTGCATCTTTATCAGCTACAGGCCCTAGGATGAAAAGTTCTCTAAGAAAAGGAAAAAAGTCATCCCTTAGCTCCAACCCTAAGCAAGACTTATTTTAAAAACTAAAACGTAGCCATACGGAAGGCTCCCGAAGGAAAGCGGCGGCTCTGCAGGTCGGAGAGAGA